GACTCCAGACAAGGAACAATTTCTGTTTCCTGAAAATTTTATTAGATATGGATAAGCCATTAAAAAAAAAAAAAAAAAAAAAAGAAAAAACACAACAAGAACTTTTGGCTCGTGCTGGACAAACCCAGTGCTGGCAGAACAGCGGTGGGGACGGTGCTGGGGGGGGCTGTACTTGTGCTCTCTGCCGGGTGCTCGCTGAGCGGAGCTGGAAGGGACAGGGGGGATGCTTTTCAGGCTGTCCACCCCCCGAGTTTCTCCAGTGTTTCTGGAAATTTTGCCAACAGGGGAGAAAAAAAAAAAAAAAAAAAAAAAGAAAAAACACAACAAGAACTTTTGGCTCGTGCTGGACAAACCCAGTGCTGGCAGAAAATCTCTCCTCCCAGTTCTTGCCCGATACCGAAGCAGCCTTGCCCGCTCAGGCTGGTGCTGTCAGGATTCAGAGCCCCCGCCGAAGGGGGGCACATCCCTCCCCACAGCCAGGCTTCCTCAGCGCACAGCCCCATCTCCGGGGGTGCCTTGGGGTCCGTGTGCCTGTCGCCACGTCCACCCCGCTTCCCTGGTGCTCCAGCATCCCGGGGGCCCAGCCCTCGGGCTTGGCGAGCACGGGAGGAATGCGACGCCTCGCCAGGGCGTTCGGGCTGGCTCGCCTGTCTAATTTTGGCTCCATAAAGAATATCGGGTCAATTCTTCATTTTCACAGCGCTCTTTATGGAGCTGGGAACAGCTGGTGCTGGGTGAGGCTGGGTATCACGCACTCCGGCTGTGGAAGGGGCAGGCAGCCCTGCTCCTGGGAAGTTTGATTTTTCTTTTTTATTTATTTTATTTTTTTTCCTGTGGGTTTGAAGGGAGATGCACCCCTCCCGCCCCAGAGCCACTGCCCCGCGCCATCAGGGGCCGGTTAAGCTTTGCTGGAGCTCAGCTCGGCTCCCGGGGAGGACACCGGGCGCAGAAGTCCCGAGTGCCAGTGTGCTGTATTTATGTACCTGACAGCGGCATGCGTGGCATGTCCTGCAATAAACATTTGCCCTGATTAGCTGGATTAGTGAGGGAGAGCTTTATTTAGGGACCTCAGTCCCACACTGGGAGCAGAGTTTTCCTGACTCGATTTCTGAAAATACCCCTGCTGTGCTTGTTATTTTCTTTTATGGTAGCTCGGAGTGGGAGCCTGCCAGTTCCCTCTCTGCCCAGCCAGCGTAAGTAGTGCTTGAAGTCTGGAAGTGTCTGTTGTGAGTAGGTGCATCCCTCGTGTCCTGCCTCTGCCAGGTTTCCCCTGCAGCTGGAGAGCGGTCAGACAGTGGAGTGCACAGTGGCTCAGTACTTTAAGCAGAAATACAACCTGCAGCTGAAGTACCCCCACCTACCCTGTCTCCAGGTTGGCCAGGAGCAGAAGCACACGTACCTGCCCTTGGAGGTGAGTGCCGGCGCTGCACCGTTGGGCGCCCTGGCTTTTGGGCGCTGTACCGTTGGGTGCCCCGGCTTTTGGGCACTGCAAAGCAAAGCCAAGCCAAGCAGCCTTTGCTGGCAGATGCACGACAATATTCTGCGGCTAACCTGTCGTGGGCGCGAGTTGCCTCAATGTTGACCTGGCAAGAGCCGCCCCTAGTAAGGGAGGGAGGAGACCATGCTGTAAAAATGCCATTTCCCTGCAGCTGCAGGCTCGGCGCCTCTGGTTTGAGGCTGGCTACAGGGCCCGAGCGCCGCACCCGCAGGGCAGCTCAGCCATGGTCCCCTGCCTCTCGCCTGTCCCTAACGCGTGGCTGCTGTCTCTCCCCTGCCGTGCCGGGGTGCAACATCGTGGCAGGCCAGCGGTGCATCAAGAAGCTCACAGACAATCAGACGTCAACCATGATCAAAGCAACAGCCAGGTCTGCCCCGGACAGGCAGGAGGAAATCAGTCGCCTGGTACGTGGCACGAGCGCCTGGGAGGGACGGTGTCGGGGCCGCTGCGGTGTCGTGTCTGTGACGAACCTTGTGGTGGTCCTGCTCCTCAGCTGCTCCGCACTGGAGAGCTGCGACCTGCGCAGAAGATGCGGGTGGGGTTAATGGCTTGGTTTTATCCCCCTCTTCTCGCCGAATCCCCGGTCAGAGATGCCTCCATGTGTGTCATGGGCACTTGCATAGAGGAGCCCAGCTCAAAGTGACCGTGGAAACTCGTGTGCAGCAAATTCAGGTCCTCGCGCTGATGGAACCTGACCCAAAGGGAGCTGGAACTAAAAATAGGAAAACAAATTAGAGAAATGACCCCGGCTCTGGGTGTACGTGGGGACTGTGCGTTGTGGGGCTGCGGTACGGGAACTCTGTCTGCAGGTCAGCCCGGGGCGAGCCCGGGGAACAGCAAACCCGGCTCTGCCAGCCACCAGGCAGGAGCTGGTTAACGGTGCTGTTGTTACCCAAACCGATGTCTGTGGGCTTTCAAAGCTGGGGACATTTGATATTCCTTCTGGGAATCTTGGTAACAGTCTCTTGCCGGTCTGAACCTTCCCGCTGAAGCCTTAAATCTCATGAGCGGGCTCTGCTCTTGGTTGCGTTGGTCAGTGCCTTCAAAAATCAGGTCCCTGTGGGTCAGTTTGGAGGACAGGGTTTGGCCCTTTTTGTGTTAAACCTTACGGAGAGGGCTTCAGCTCTGCGGAGAACATGACTTCAGGTGCCCAGGTTTCCCATCAGCTGAAGCTGCGTGGGATGCAGCAGTTGGTCTCGCTCCTTCCTATGGCCGTTCCTTCCCTCTGCAGATGAAGAACGCCAGCTACAACCTGGATCCGTACATTCAGGAGTTTGGGATCAAGGTGAAAGATGACATGACGGAGGTGACGGGGAGGGTCCTGCCGGCACCCATCCTGCAGTACGGAGGCAGGGTAAGCGGGGCGGCGCTGCCCGGGTGTTGGGCTGCGTTGTGCAGAGAGACGCGTTCACACCAGAAAACGCTGTTGCTGAACAAAACTTGTGCTACCTTCAGGTTTGTAGGTTAGAGCTGGAATTTTTTATCAGGGCGCCTTGGGTCTGGGTTTTTTTGGTTTTGGTTTTTTTTTTTTTGGTTTTTTTTTTTTTTTTTTGCAATATAACTGCTCTGAAAGCGTAGCCAAGAGTCATGTGGTGATAAAAAAGTGAGCTCAGAGTAAGGCAGCTGGGGTGAGTTTTCCGTCACCTTTGCGGAGCTGAGGTTCTGAATTGCTGTGGTGGTTTGACCCTGGCTGGGTGCCAGGGGCCCACCAAAGCTGCTCTATCACTCCCGTCTAACTGGACAGGGGAGAGAAAAAGTAAATCAAAGGGCTCGTGGGTCGAGATAAAGGCAGTTTAATAAGGGGAAAAAAAAGCAAAGGCCACGCGCGGTAGCAAAAGGAAAGAAAACAAGATTTTATTCTCTACTTCCCATTAGCAGGCGATGTCCAGCCACTTCCCGGGAAGTAGGGCTTCGGTATACATAGGTGTTCCTCCAGAAGACAAATGTCCCCACTCCTCTTCCTTTTCCCTTAGTTTTTATATCTAAGCTGACATCACATGGTATGGAATATCCCTTTGGTTGGTTTGGGTCAGGTGTCTTGGCTCCGTCCCCTCCCAAGATCTTGCCCCCTTCCAGCCCACTACAATTGCCCCCCTCCACGCGCCGCGGCAGACGCTGGCAGCGCAGGCAGTCGGCTCTGGCGAGGGCGTTCGGCTTTGTGACGGGGAGCACAACCCCGGCACGTGCGGGTGCTCCCCGGGGGCTGCCGGCGTGGGGCCGGGCAGGACGCGGCAGCGCTCTGACCGTCTGTTTGCCTTGCAGAACCGGGCCATTGCAACTCCCAACCAAGGCGTGTGGGACATGCGAGGGAAGCAGTTCTACAACGGCATTGAGATCAAAGTCTGGGCGATTGCTTGCTTTGCCCCGCAGAAGCAGTGTCGAGAGGAGGTGCTGAAGTAAGGAGAGGGGCAGCCCGCGCGGGTGGGATGACGTGGGGGAGCCGTGGCTCGTGGTGCGGCCGCCCTGCTGCTCCCAGCCTGCGTCTGCACATCCTTAACACCGGCTCTGAATTGCTCGTGGTATACAAATGTGCCCCGGGTTCAGACTGGGTGTTCAGTCGTGTTTCCGTCAGCTTCCCCAGAGCGCCTGGCTGTTTACCCTGGCTGCAAACAGTCCCTGGGCCATCGCACGGCCTGCCGGGTTGGAGCGAGCAGGTCGGCACCCCGGCGCGTGCGGGCTGACAGTCAGGCTCTCCTCGACCTGCTCTTTGCATCAGACAGCTGCAGTATCGTGATCCGGTCCTGCCAGCCCGAAAGCTGTATTGAACTCTTCTCAGCTGAATCTGAGGGATATTTAATGACAAGTTTCCCCAATACCCTTTCTGAATGATCTAATTCACATAGGAAGCACCCTAACTCACCATGGGTTTTTATTACAGAGCAACCTTAGGCTTTCTGAAAAGCTTTGGTAGCTTAGAGCTTCTCTGCGTCGGTAGCCAAGTGACACAGAGCGGGGACAGTTTACCTGATTTAGGGAAATGGGCACCTTGGGTTTGGATTCTGCTGGGGAACTTGGCTTTCTCCTGACCGAGCAGATGCATCGAGGCGAGCATTTGGTGTGCCTCTCCTGGGTGTTTGGCACGGTTAACGTTTGGGATGGTGGGAGCAGCTCCAAGTCTCCACGTCTGCAGTAACTGGGCGGAGGTGGGAGTGACACCACACTCCTCTTGTGACCCCTTTGGGGCAGAGCTGGGACCCCTGCGCTCCCTCTGGCTCTCCCTGCGTAAAATTTATCCTGGGCAATCCAAAAATCCAGAGTGTGGCTGAGCGCTTTGTCCGGTTTGGTAAGTGAAGGCTTGCACCAGCTTTGCAAATCATCTGGAAATCAAGCAGCTATGCTCCCCCTTCTCCAGCTTTCTAACGGAGAACGGCTCACGGCTCCATCGCCCTTTGGGAAGAGTCAGTACCTGGGTAAGAGGGTGCCAAGAGGGTTGGTTCAGCTCTAACATTTGTTGGTCTTGAGTTTCCCGTGCTGTGCGCTTGCTGGATGCTGTAAAACCACAGACGTGGTGATGTGATGTCCCCGTGTCTGTCCTGTGCCGCAGCGCTCCAGCCGCGCGTCCCTCCTCGCTCGGTGGCCGAGGTGTGTGGCAGAGCTGCCGTGCGGAAGGGCTCGGGGCTGAATGCTTCTCCTCCCGGGCACAGGAACTTTACGGACCAGCTGCGCAAGATCTCCAAGGATGCAGGGATGCCCATCCAAGGCCAGCCCTGTTTCTGTAAATACGCCCAGGGTGCAGACAGCGTGGAGCCCATGTTTCGACACCTCAAGAACACCTATTCGGGGCTTCAGCTCATCATTGTCATCCTGCCGGGGAAAACACCGGTGTACGGTGCGTCTGGGGCAGGGGCGAGCGGGAGAGGAGAGGGGCTTTGCTCTCGCTCAGCAGGGCTGGCGCTGCTCCTCCTGCCGTGGTTTCTCTCCCCGTTTCCGAGGAGGCTGCTGGAAGCGGTGTGGTGCTGGTTGCCTGTCTGTTCACCCGCCTCCTCTGCCTGCAGCCGAGGTGAAGCGCGTTGGGGACACGCTCCTGGGAATGGCCACGCAGTGCGTCCAGGTCAAAAACGTGGTGAAAACCTCCCCGCAGACCCTTTCCAACCTCTGCCTCAAGATCAACGTCAAGCTTGGCGGGATCAACAACATCCTTGTGCCTCACCAGCGGTTCGTACGGCTGCTGCCTCTCGCGTTTCGGGGGCTTGTTTCCCAAGTCCCTCCTGGTGCTGCCTGCCTGGCTTTACCTGGGGAAGAGGGGGCCTGGGGGGGAGGCTGCGTAAAGTAACCGTTGGAAAGGGGGGGTTGCAGCCCGTCTCACCTTGTAGTGAGCTGTTGATGTGCCCAGGCCAGAGCCCCAAGGTCGGGAGAGCCCCAAGGTTGGGATTTGTCCTCTCTATGATCTGCTCGCCTCCATCGGGCCGTGCATCGCCCTGCGACGGCCCCGAAAGGCTGACTGCTGCTTTCTCTTCTGTCCCACCAGCTCTGCCGTCTTTCAGCAGCCGGTGATCTTCCTCGGGGCCGATGTCACTCACCCGCCGGCAGGAGATGGGAAGAAACCCTCCATAACGGCTGTAAGTTCCCTTTCCAGGGCCAGGCTTGGTGCCCGAGAGCCCTGCAGAGACGCGGGAGCTGGAACGGGACTCGTGTGTCCATAAGGGGGCTGTGCCACTGCTGTCCCCATAGTGACGTTCCTCAGGGTGGCCCCATGCCCTGTCGGGGGTTTCAGTCCCCTTCCTGCGTGGTGGGTCCCCAATCCCCTCCTGCCTCTCCGCAGAGGAGCTGCGGTTTTGGGGAGCCGCTGGGAGAGCTGGCAGCTGCCAGCAGATGGGGCTCGTGGTGTGCCAGACCCCACCAGCGCTGTCGGACGGGGTGTGCGGGGAGCTCAGTGCGGCCGCTGTGCTCGCCGGAGTCATCCCCAGGCATCCCGGTCCTGCAGCGCAGCTTTCGGGGGGACCTTCCCCAGTGGGAGAGCTGGGGAGAACTGGGGTGACAGGGATGCTTCTGAGCCTTTTGGGGAGGAGGATTTCCTATCGCCCCAAACGAAGGAGGAGCATCCATCGAGTGAAGTGCCGCTCGCAGCCTTCGCGGTGCTCTAAGACGTTGCCCTGTGCTCGTTGGGGCGAAGGAGCGTGTCGGGTTCTCGTAGCGTCTGTTTTAATTGGGCACGTCAGCATTTTCCTATTAAGTTCTTAACTTTCCAGGACTCATAGCTCAGGTTTTCCTCTGCATCCAAATGCATCTTTGGAGGAGTGGTTTTTTTTCTTAATTAGAAGGGGTTGGGAAATGCTTTTGGCTGTTTGCTGTAGGTGTGGGTGGGACAGAACAGTCTGTTTCCTGGCGGCGGCACTTCCACTCCGAAAACATTTTCTGTGGTTTTTTTGTACAGGACCACTGTGGGGTTGGGGTTTTTTCTTAATTTTTATAAAAGCTTTTTTGAAGTTGCAGGGGAGGAGAAGGGTCGAGCCTTCAGATGGCCTTGATCTTATCCTTGGTCCGTTGTTAATTAGACAATAGAAGGGAAGGCCAAGGGGAACGTTTCTGTTGAGCGCATCGGCTCCACGGGTGCAGCCCAGACCCCAGAGCTCTGACTGCAAAGCAAAAGCAAAACCGGGGCTGGGGGCAGGGGCTTTCCCTCCGCTCGGGGGGACGGGGGCCGCACGGTGCCGTGAAGCAGCTGGGCATTTGTCTCCCAGCGTGGGCCAGCCCCCGCTTTGACGCCCGTGACTCAGGCTGTGCCCCCAGCCCTGCGCCACGGCCGAG